TGTTATTACTGCTATTGTTATTATTATTATTATTATTTTTGTTATTATTATTATTATTGTTACAGGCCTAATTATTATTATTATTATTATTATCATTATTATAATGGAGACGGTATGTTGTTTTCCTAGTTTTCTGGCTAGTAAATAGTACTGAAATTTTGTGTAGTGTTTTGAAGTTAGTCCAGTTGCACAGTTTAGTCAATGACACAGCAGCATTAGGTATAAAGATGTATGTCCATCCCTGTTTGTTGTTTTTAAAAAAAGTACTATTTGATCTGAGGAATAATGTGTCTTGAATGTTGGAAGTTTGCATGAAGACAAGACATATCTGCATGTTGAAAGAAAAGCTTCTTCATTTCATGAAATTTTAGTGTCTGTGATCAATGCTTTTTTTTTTTCAAGGTTAAAGTTAAATATCCTTTTGAATTGTTCACCCTAATACTTGGAAAGAAATATATTGATTAATTTTGAAAGTAATGGAGGTATTTAAAGGATATTTCCTCTTTTGGTCCTTTATAATTTCTCATTCATTGATATTTTGTCTGTACTTTTGTTTCAATTTGATTTTGTCAACTGGGAATGTCTCTACTGACATCATTTCTCTACATCTGTTCGCTAATTTGTTCCGACTACCTCTTCTCTTTTCCCAGAACTTGCAGCAAGAGTTGGCATCCCACCAGCGACAGATCACAGCCATTCAGGACCGCACCAGCTCCCTACAGAAGAAATACCCATCCTCCGAGACGGCCAGTCTGGCCAAGGACGGCGTTGTGGTCACCAAGAAGTACGAGGCTCTGGTCCAGCGAGGCGAGCGTGTACAGGACGCGTTGTTGGGACAGCTGGAGTCACAGTGTGCCGAGGCTCAACAGCAGCAGCTGCGCTGGCTCAACGCTGCCAAGGAGAAAGTGTCATGGTGTGGAGACATCGCTGGGGACCGCTACAGCATTGAGGCGAAGCTGGCCACAATCAAGGTGAGAAATTTATTTTTGATATTATTGTCTCCTTGTTAAAAAAAAAAAAGTAAGGTTTAAAAAACCTTGATGCTATAAGAATAGGTACTAAGTTGAAATAGCTTTACACGTTCACAGTCCAAGAAGAGAACAGAAGAATGGCTTAATGCTTGATTGAAATATGTCCGATTCCCTTTTTCATTAGGTTGGGTAAACGTAAGTTTCACAACAATGAATACACATTGCAAAATTTTGTTTTACACTTGATTATAATCGTTGCAAAAAAAATGAGTACTCCAATATCATTTCTAGTCTTTTTTTTTTTGCAACCGTGAAAGTACCTTTTCTGCTATAGGAACAAATTTGTAATGGTCGTTTAGGACAGGAATGATTGTGTTTGCTCCTTTTATCAAATATTTTTACCTTCAAAACTCACATGGTCTTGTATTGAACATCAAGTTTTTTCTCTGTCAAAACTCACATTGTCTTGTGTTGCCCAGGACCTGGAGGCCAGTCTACAGGACGGAGAGGCCAAGAGACATGAGGCCACTAACAGGCTGGACGCCATCAAGGGAGTTCTGCCCAAAGCCAAGCAGTCTGAGCTGGAGGCAAATCGCAAGTCGATGGAGAAAGAGTGGCAGAACTTGGTTAAACAGTTGCAGCAAACACAGTGAGTGAAAAATATAATGAATCCTCTTTGTCCTCCTTCTCCTCCTCCTACTTCTATGACAGTAAGACAGTCAGTCCGGTTGTGCACATAAACTGAGCAACCTGCTGTAGATCTTCAAGGTTTTCACTTCAGCCTTACCATCTCATTGTCAAATTGGTATGTCTTTTACATAGGCTACAGAGTGGGAGGCATCTATCCCTACATCTGGGCAGTTCATTTCTCATAATGCCATTTCTGTAATTGTGCAATGTTACAGGGTGTTTCCATCAATGCGCGCGCGCGAGAGAGAGAGTGAGTGAGTGAGAGAGAGAGAGTATTGTTTGGAATTTCGAGTTTAGAAAATCTGATTCTAGTAAACGATATTTGCATCTCGTTAAGTTTTTCTCCAGTAGAATGATAATTTTGAACTAACGTACCATCGTCAGATCCAAGCTTGAGACTTCCATGGAGCAGTGGCAACAGTACGACCACCGGTATGAGGCTCTGTCGCAGTGGCTCAAGGACACGGAGACCAAAATGAGGGCAGAGTCGGCTCTCAAACCGGATTTGCCCAGCAAGAAGGAGCAACTGGAGTTGTTTAAGGTAAGATCTATATTTTAATCTTAGTTATGTCTCATGCAGAAAAATGTTGTTCTTTGAAATGACGGAAAAAATAAATTGTTTGATATTATTATGTTAGAGGTTATTAGAAAGCGTAAGAAATATTTATCATTTTTAAATACCAAGATTGCTAATACTTATTTTTTCATACTTGCATTTACAATTTTTTAAGGAGTTTGATGCTAACTTAATTACCTTGTTAAGACTATGAAAGAAATGTTTCTCTCCAATTTTATGAAATGTTGCATTCTGAGTTTCTTATAGAATGCATAAACCATGTACCCAATTCTTAATCCTTTAAGACTTTTTAGCTGGTGAGACCAGTGCTCGTAAATTCTAGTTATGTATGTAGAATTATAGGCTGTAATAATCTTTTAGAAAAAGAAGAGGGTACAACCGCTACAAAATACTTCTTAAGATTAAGAATTTACAAATCTGATTTATACTTTCTTCACTGGAGTAATAAAAATGGACTACAAGTCAAGTTCCAGGCTTGAATTCTTTTTTCAAATGAGATTTGTGTAGACACCGCTTTTGATCCATCAACTTCTTTGCCAATGCCTGAACTGACCACGAGCTTTCTCCACTTGTCATATTTCCCTCACAGTCCCTTGAGCAGGCTGTTCAGTCTCACCGTAACGAGTTTGAGAACATGCGAGACACAGCCCAACAGATCAGCCACACCAGCGGGGATAGCCGCACTGCTTCCTATGCTGGTCAGTTGGTCAACAGATACCAGACTTTGGCTTCTGCCATAAAGGTATGAACTCATGTCTTCTGGTGGAATTAATTATCCTACTTTACAATGAATCCTTTCATATAAAGCACTCCCGCTAAGAATGTTCTCAATACGCTTTACAATGAGGGAGTGGGAAGGGACAATAGAGAAAAAAAGAAAGAGAGTGAGAGGGGAAAGGGAGTGAAAGGATCGCTACTGGAAGCCATGTTCTTACTATTGTTGTAAAGCTTAATGAGCTTTTTCTTAGTTGAAATGTGCTGTATAAATGAAATTTACTGTTATTATTAAAATTACAAGATTAAAATATATTATGTAAATGCTTACTGGAATACTTTTATATCTTCAGAGGAACTTAAATTTGATGACGTCAATGTTAGTTTTCTTTTATTGATATTAGAACCCAAAAAAATGAGGAATTTTTGCATTGAATGTTGTGCTGTGGCAGGAACAACTTGAGCGCTGCCACCAAAACATAGAGGACCATGAGCAGTACGTCGACAGACACAAGGCCATGCAGGACTGGCTCACTATGGCTACACAAGAGCTGCAGCAATGTTCTGACCTGGTCGGGGATGAGGACTCTCTCAACACGAAGCTGTCTATTGTAAAGGTTTGTGCTCAAAGTCTTGACTTTTTCCTTTTTCTTTTTATATTTGTTTCTGTAGTTAAAACCACTTAACAATATGAATGAATACAAGCTGTCGCCCTCATTCATCAATGTCATATATCAAAATGTTGGTTTTCAAGAGGAGCAGAAAAGAACAAACTGTTTTATTTTGGACAGAACACTGTGTTAATACAAAATGTAAAATTCATTTTAATCTGTTACTGTTTTAAAGAAGAGGAATGGGACTAGAACCAATGAATGTGCCTCATCAAACTCTGAAACTGAAACATACTTGGTTTTCATTATTTTAAAATTTTGACAAATTCCAATTTTGAATGATGGCTACGAAATGGTCTTCTGTCTCATCAGTAAGGGGTACAACATCCCTTCTGATAGAGCAGCTCTCAAATCTCACAACTTTTCTAGTACAGGGTTGGCATCTTTTCTCTGAACCTAATATCGCTTCTTTCCAGCTCTATTCCATGCTACACTGTTTATGGAGGGTCTATTCTTGCAAGCGAAAGATCACTGGACCCAACAGGCTTGCCCTCACTTAATCTTATTTGTGTTAGAAAGGTATTCATTGAATACCAAAACACAAATTCAAAACTTTTTTTATCTTACCATGTTCCTTGATCACGGTTTGTGAGTTTCCTGCCTGATTTTGTCTTTGTTATGAACCTCCTGCCCCTCCTCTGAGTAGCTGGTTATTGTCTCTGGTTTCTTAAGTAAAAAATCTAACCTTCAGTCAAGGCTACTAAAGGTTGTATTGACATTTACTGCATACAGTAGTAGTAGCATTTTTTTGGTCTTTATCTAATCTTTCAACTTGTGAACTACTTATTATGTCAAAGTTATAGCTTGTTGGGGGCTTAAAATAAGTTACATATTTTCTGTCATTTCTTATTGGCTAATCTAAGTGACTGTTTGTGTTTTGCAGGACCTGGTGGCTCAGAAGGAGCAGGGAGCCTCCTGTTTCAACTCCGCTCTGGAGGCAGGAGAGAAGCTGTACCCGAACACGTCAAACGAAGGTCGCGAGGGCATACGTCGAGAGCTGCGCAGCCTGCGTGACTCTTGGGAAGGCTTCAATGACAGCCTCAGCGACACGCAGCGACAGCTGGATAGCAGCCGCATGCAGTGGCAGTCGTTTGACGAGAACTTTGAGCAGCTGCAGAAGTGGGTCGCTGAGGTGGAAGCTCAGATGGACTCAGATCCTGAGCTGAAGGCCACTCTGCAGGAGAAGAAAGCTTTGCTACAGCATTATAAGGTAAGGGAGGGAGAATGACTGAGGTTAAGAAAGGGAAAGAAAAAGGACACATATCTCTCTACATTTAGATTTACTACAGCATTATAAGGTAATGGAGAGAGACTGACTGAGTTAAGAAAAGGAAAGAAAAAGAACACATCTATTTTTTTTAACATTATGGGGAAATTTACTTTTCAATGTTGTGTTGTGAATGCTTTCAGTAATTCAGCTAATTACATCACGTCACATAATACGATATCAAGCCATTATTATAATTTCAAAAACACTCCTTTGACAATGCCCTGGTTTTTGGCTAAGACAGTGACTGTCCACCTTAAAGCTGTTGCTTGGTTTATTTATTTTGCCAAAGTTCACTAACCGCTTGACCACTTGTGTTTATGTTCCACTTAAGATCATGACAGTTTGTTAGTATTTAAACCTTTTATTGGCTGCTTGTACTGTATGCTTCTTGGGAAGCTGATGATCTGCTGGTGTAATAATAGTCGTAAAGCACATAGATCATGCTGTAGAGCTTGGATATGCCCTATTTTGACTGTAATTATTATTATTCTTAGCATGATGAGGATGATGTTGATTATTATTATGATTATTATTATGATAATTGTTAATGTTGCTATTTTTATTATAATTTTTTGTTGTTGAAACAGCAACAATACCAATATTTCTGTTGGGCTTCATCACTGATCTTTTATATGTACAGACTCGCTGCCAGGACATCATGTCTCATCAGACGATGGTGGACAGCATCAGTGACAAAGGGACAGCCCTGTCCTCGGCCCAGGTGCAGAACAAACTGAAGCAGCTCAACAACAAGTACAACCACTTGTGTAACGCAGCAGAGGTGAGCGTTGTGTCTCTTACCTCATTTTGTCGCTGCTTTATTCTTATCCAAGCGATTGGCTTATAGATCCTGCTCTGGGATAGCTGTTGCAACATCGATAGGTCTGTTGCTAGTGTCTTAGTCTTAGTAAGTTTTTTAGGGCACTTGCAGCGCAATAAGGTCATGTAAGTGCCGAAGATTAGAGGTGTTACAAGAGAGTAACAAACACCAAAAAGGAGGAAGAGAGATAAGGACGATAGATGTTTGATAGGAAAGAAGAAGCAAACCACACCAGATTATCTGCTGCAGCTTGTGAGAAGAAAAAAGAAATGTCCTCACTGTTGGTCCATATGTGTTGCGATTTTGCATGGTTTCCTGTTGAAGAGGGGTGAGGGGTGCAGTACATGCCCAGAGAGCTGATCTGGCTTGAAACTGCTGTAGTATGGGTGACTTGGGTTTTACATTGATTATCTTGTGGGGGGGGGGGGTGCATCCATCAGGAGGTGGATACTAATGCGATAGTCCCTTATTTTTAACTAAAGTGGATGGAAAAATGAGTATTTTCTGCAATTTTTCTAGGGTTTGAAAGCTTACATTCATGATGAGCCATCGTTCATTTTCTCATATTGAGTGTAATGTGCCCCTCACAGAATTGTGTCCGCAAGGCAGAAGAATATGTTGACGAGCATCAGTCGTATCAAGACGTGTCTCAGCTGTGCCGTGATTGGCTGACTGCCACACGAGACAAGGTCGCTGTGTGCGCCGAGGTGGGGGGAGACAAGCAGGCCCTGCAGAACAGGCTGGATCGTCTACAGGTTAGTTGTTGGAAATTGGTTTTGTCTTTCTGTTTAATTTAGGTTCTTCTCTGTATCAATGTTGGTTTTTTAGTCCTTGACCATTTTTCTTTTTGACCTAAATTACTTCTTATGTAGAAAAAAGAGTAGGACATAAATCAATAATGTATGCGATTGTTGCATACTTTAGCTTATGAGAACTGTCAAATAGTGATGTTCCAGTGAGTATCGTCAAAGGTCTTGTTTCTTGAGATGATGAGTGAACTTGAATTCATGAAATGATTTAAGCCAGTTTTCAGCTTTTTCCTTTTACAAAAGTCCATAGTTTTACACTATATTTACAAAAGTCCATAGTTTTACACCATATTTACAAAAGTCCATAGTTTTACACTATATTTGCTTTAAAAAAAATTATTTTTTGGGACTGCTGTCAGAACCAACAGTTGAAATTCGGAAAGTCTTTAGTAATGAGATATTCCATGTGTGTCCCAAAACCAAGATCTTATACTTTTTACTTTTAATGTTACAGGACATCATGGCCACAATGGGTGACGGAGAAACCAAACTGAGACAAGCCCACCAGCAAGGGGAGAGAATCATGCCTCACACCTCACCCCCGGGACAGAGTAACCTGCGGCGAGAGCTGGACTCGCTGACCGCCGACTGGGACGCTCTGGTCACCCGCATGGACGAGACACAGCAAGGACTGGCACAGGCTATCCAAGGTAAAAACTTACAGACGTTTGGACAAAATGTGGGAAATGTATAGAGAGGGATACAGTTTTTAAAATGCTTATGAATCTGAAATGTATATGCTTCTGTAAATATTAGGTTGATTACTAGTTGTAAATTGCATAGGGTATGCAGTAGAGCCTGGATATGCGCTTGAATAGATGAAATCATTTTTATTATTTTTATTTGTTACTAATTACAAAGAAATATGTATTTGAATGAGAAGGAGGTTCGTACTTTGTTTCCATGTTCCTGGTAATGAAACAATTTTTATGAAAATTTCTTTTGATTTACTGTTGGTCAGTACTGATTATGGGATACCTTACCTTGTTGTCGCTCTTAGATTACCAGTGAATGTCAGTAAGAGAACTTAACAAAACCAATTACAAACTCACTGACATGACTGCCGCACTCAGTGATACCGTAGAAATTGTGAAAACTGAATTGAGGGATATTGAAATATTTTGGCACAAACAGAGCTTATGAATGTTTTATTGATGCCTTCACAATCAGTTGATCATTGTAACTTTAACTCTTTTTTTCTTTCTTTCTAGCCCTGGATCTTTACGATGGCTCTTGTGAGTCTCTGAACCGCTGGCTGAGGGAAACGGAGAGCCAGTTCAAGGACAGTGAGCTCAAATCTACCCTGAGGGAGAAACAGGCTCAAGTCGACATGTTCAAGGTGAAAAATGGGAGAAGAAAATGTTTGACCCTTCTGAAGTGAAAATGTACAGAGCAAAGAAAGAAAAATTCTTCAGGAGAAAGAAAAAATTGTTTCTTTCTTTTAGCAATTGTACCAGTGTCCTATGTTAGGTTGTTGTTTGGGGGTTTTTTTGGGGGGGGGAGGGGGGGGGTTTGTTGCTTATTTTCAACATTTTGAATTTGAATTTCTTGCTAAAACGAAACTAAACTGTTTCTTACTTTAATCGCTATGAATTTGATGTTTTTATTTTTCCAGAATAAGGGATATTGATAATGCAATGAGAGTGGTTACAGTATTGTTAATTTCTTGTTCACTCTGTCATCTGTCTGTTGCAGAGCCTCCAACAAGACATCAGCTCCAAGCAAGATCAGTTCACAGACTTACAGAACATGGCAGCACAGGTGCAGAGCACAGACACTCGCCTGGCCAACTACAGCACTCAGCTGGGCACTCGCTACGAGACACTCAAGAGCCTGGCCAAGGTAAGTGCTTGCATCACATGTTTAGTTACTAGCTCTGAATCAATTTCTAATTGCGGAACTGCACTGATATTTATTGAGGACCCACAGATCAATCAAAAGAGCTATTTCTTCCTGTTATATTGTTAGAGCACAACATAGGCAATAAGCTTTTTAATTGTAGTTCTTCTGATTTTGTATTGTGGTGCTTCATATTCTGAAAAATTATCATCACTGAAATCGTCAATCCATGATTTAGTATGAAGCTTTTGTGAGACAAATTCAACAGCTGGTTTGAATCAGAGCTGAATCAAAATTGAATGTCTTTTTTAGTTGTTTACTTTGTGGTTTTCCTCCAGGATGTGATCAGGAAATGGGAGGAGTACGTGGAGGAACACCAGACCTTCCAGCAGTCCCACGGTCAATGCATGGACGCCGTGGACACACTGAGACGCAGACTGCAGGTGTGTGCAGACCTTGCTGGAGACAAACAGGATGTGGAAGACCGCATGATCAAACTACAGGTGAGAGCGAGATCTGCTCATTGGCAGCAGGAGTGGTGTTTGTTGTTGATGTTGCTGTGATAGGGATTGCTGTAGTTTCTGGACTTGTTCTTTACCCAGTGATACATTTTGTTATAGATAAGTTTAGTGCTGTCTTGCAGAGTATGCTCTGTGCGTTAGGATTTTGAATTGAATATGCTAGAACGTAACAAAAACGTTTTTTTAAGAAGGGGGGGGGCGTCTGTTATAGTCTTTAATTGCTTTTTATTATTTGGTCTTTGTATACGTTTTTGAAATTTTAAGTTGCATGTTTTGTTTTAACTTAAAAGGCATAAAAGTAGGACTGCTGATAATGAAGTTCCAAGGCAAGAGAAATATAGAAAATCCTGCCTGAAAAGGTGGCATTCAATGTTTCTCCAAGGTTTTTGGGGGGCACTTTATAATAGGAATTATTCTCATCATGGATTTCCTTGTTATTATACTTCAGTGCATGGTATTGAAGTAACAAAAGTATAGAAACTGACTTCAATCTTCAAAGCTTTGAAATAATCCCCTTTTTAAATTTATAGTGCTTTGATGTTTTCTTTTAATTGTAAATGACAGTCTCTAATACATTGCAAATATTGTTTTGCTTATGAAGGAATTGATGGCAGAGCGAGACGAGAAGGCTAATGTTATCCACCAGACTATTGAGAGTGGAGAGAGACTTTATCCCAGCACTGCATCGGATGGCCGGGATCACATTCGACAAGACATCAGGTAGGTCGTATAATTTGGGTAACCAATAATGCAAATACAGTCAAACCTGCTCTAACGACCAACTGTCCAAGACAATCACCCATACAAACAACCACCTCCCATTTCCCCCCTTGTGTTTTTTCTGTATTATAATGACACTGTCTGAAAAGACCACATGTATTAAGATCACTACTTTTCTCTTCATCAATGGATGGTCATCTTTGACAGGTTCAACTGTATTCCATTTTGGAAATGAAAACATTTTAAACAAGTTATTGAAATGTCAGCCAGAAATTGCAGGTCAGAGAACGCATGATAGTACCCTATGCTGAGATGCAACAAAGTGTTTTACTGTTGATGTCAATGTCCATAGTCCTGTTTCTCTTTGTCAGTGGTCCAGCAAATTGAAGTTGTTATTTCCATTTGACGTCACATCGGAAGTACAGAATAATAAGTGTCATCATCTTTCCTTGCAGAAATCTACGTGAAAACTGGGAGGCCCTAAGAGATGAAATGTCTGACGTTCAGCGAAAGTTGGATGTGAACTTGAACCAGTGGTCGTCGTACGACGAGAACTTTGAGGGCTTCCAGAAGTGGCTGCTGGACATGGAGGTCAAGTTGAAGGAGGATGCCCAGCTCCAGGCCACTCTACCAGAGAAGAAAGCCCAGCTACAGAACCATAAGGTAATGATGAATAAGTAGCATTTGCCTAGCGCATATTATAATAATAATAATAATAATGAAGATAATTTCTATAGCGCCCACTCCCGTGTAAACACAGCTCTAGGCGCTTTACATAAATGCATATTCCTGCTCAATAGCATGCTTTATGTGCTTTACAACCTATATAATGAAGGTGGTGGTGGTGAAGGGTAAAGGATATTGATTCAGGCTAAGAGAAATGCAGTGTCAGAGTGAAGGGGAGAAAAGTGGTATTTTTATAGTTGTGGGTGTTCCTTGTAGTGTTCGGTTGTCTGCTTCTTCGTCCTTGTTGTATTGTTACCTAATTTCAAGGGTTGCCTAGGAAACGGAGAACACTATAGTAAAGAAATTTTCTAGAGGAAATGACAGCTTTTCTTGTGACTTTTGGTTGCTAACTATGTACATACGATATACCTGTAGGCTGGGACAACAGTTTGTAGAGAAAATGTAAAGTATGTTAGTTTCCCAATGGGGGACATTATTTGAACGAAAATCAGTAAAAAACACTTTAGAATTATGGGAGAGAATACGTGTACATTTGTCTTTCTTTTTTTTTTAAAATTTAAACTGTTTCTTTTGCGAATTTGAAGTTTTGATTATATGTAGGAGGACTCTTAATACTTGTGTGTTTTTGTAGTCCGGTCAGTCAAATTCATGCCATTTGTTGGGCTCAAAAAGTATTTGCATGTTGTCTTATATGTTGTCCTAAGAATGAAAATGTGTTCGCAGGTTCTCCATCAAGACATTCTGTCCCGAGAACACATCATTGAGAACTTGGCAGAGAAGGCTCAGGCTTTGACACACTCCACACCCTCAGCAAAGGTGAGAGAAACTTGGTCGACATTTCTTATGAGCGTCTTTCTTGGCAGGACCTTCTGATTTTTAATGGTCATGGAGATGAGGGGTTTTTGGCGGAAAGCAGATACATTTTAAAAAAGTTTTGGAGCAAATACTTCTATTAGTTTAATGCTAATTAAATGTTTTTACTTTGTAATGGTTACTGAAATTCAAAATCCTTTTTCAATTATTCAAAATTCTCAGTGAACTTTCTCATCTTAGTTATGATATTTTTTAAAAATCTGAATTACTGTTATCCATATTTTACTAGAAGTATAATGATAATGAACTTTCTTCTGTATAGTCATCTGTGATGCTTTGAAATGATTTATCGGAAATTAACAGAGCAATGATATCTGTCGTCAGGTGAACAAATTTGTTGGAGAGCTACAGGGCAAGTACTCCGGCATCTGTGATGCCTCGAAGAGCATCCTTGACCGACTGGACAGCTCCATGCGTGACCACCAGCAGTACCAGGATGCCTCGCAGGACTTCACTGATTGGCTCAACTCGGCCAGGGAGAGGCTGGAGGCGTGTGCCGACCGGTCTGGTGATAAGCTCTCCTTGCAGGGAAAGAGAGAGAGACTCAAGGTGAGTGGTCAAAAACTTACGGTACTTTTCATTTCAGTTGTATAAAGTGCTTAGGTGTTAAAGCAAACAAAATCGTTCAAGCTTCATGCTTGATTGTCAGTTGTAAAGTTGTTTGGTACAAGGAAGAGCAGAACATTTTGGAAATGTGTGATTTGTGAAGAATTAGTTTTTGCTACTTAAAAGTCTAATGTCCCCTAGAGCTGTGCGTGTTTTCTGAATTGTTTTCTTTCTTTTGACCATCCATGCTGCACAATTGTGCTAGGTAATGAAAATTTTGTTCTGTCGTTTCCTGTGATGTGAATTATATCCCTCATTAGGTAAACTATGACTTCTGTTCTATGAAGGACTGTTTCATATTTGTTTCTGTATCACATTTATTTCGCATGTTATATCTTTGGTCCAGTGTGTGATTGAAGGGGGCCCGTAGTATGTTGTATCTCTTTACTATTCCTCTGATTATATATCTGTCAATCCTGCTTTTTCCTCAGCACTAACTCTTTATTGCTGAGTTGATATGCTTTTTTTGAAACCCAAAAACCGCCAACATTATCTTTTATCCACAGGAGTTTGCTGCTAACATTCATGAGGGTGAGCGCAAGCTTCAGCTGACCCGCCAATATGGAGCGACCACATCGCAAAACACTTCCCCTCAGGGACGAGACGTTCTCCAGAGAGAGTTGGAGCATCTGGAGCGAGAGTGGAAGGATTATCTCAACCTCATGCAGGTGAGACATGTTCTATATACTATGCTGAATGCGTATCCATGTCGCGGCCGAGATTAAAGAATTCTGATAATTATTTGCTGGCCAAAGCAGGAGAAAATTGAGTGAAATCGGTTGAAATATCCAAGCTCTCAAAAGTGAAACTAAATCTGGTACTATAGCATATGTCTTCCGAGGGCATTTCCTGAGGTATAATAATATAAGATTTATTGCTTCCAGCTGGGCTGGAAACTGTTGGTTTTAATTTTCAAAACAGACAGTTTGTTTATATTGTAACTATACAATCCAAGCAGATGTGTTGTTTTATCTGAAGCACTCTTCAGGGTTTTTTTTCCAGATTTGTACTAACAACATTTAACATTGTATAAACACATCTGTGATTGTACGTAGAGATGAGTTTAATAGATGATATGTTCTTTAAAATGTTGCTTTGTCTGTATTAATTTTGTATTAAAATTGTATTAAAAATTATTTTTTTAATGTGCATTTTTTAAACTAATGGTAACAAAAGAGAGTAACAAAACTTTTAAGTAATGTAAACATAATTCATTGTTTTTTTCCTCTCCCTATCAGCATGCTGAGGCTTCCCTTGAGCAGACCATGGGAATGTGGGGTGACTTTGAGAGCAAGTTCGAGCAGTTTGCTGAGTGGTTGAAGAACATGGAGAACAAGGTGAAAGGTCATGAACTTAAAAACACTCTCAAAGAGAAACAAGTTCAGGTGGAGAAATTCAAGGTTAGTGAGAAATTTCTGCAGATAAATTTAATTACTATATATAAGGTAGCTAGATTTTGTGTTTGTGTATGAGTGTGTTTTTTAAGAAATCATTGAGAGGTTTTTGAAGTCTCTCTTTTCCTTTCATTTGGTTATTTTATTCTTTCAAATTTAATTTTTGTATTGGTAGCTAGCAAAGTTATATTACTTTTGTTTCTCCGAGGTTGTTAAAGATCGTCATCTGTTCATGATGGGTGAACTACTATTATCTCTATTAAGTTGTTTGTGGGCTGTCCTGTGTGGATGTATTATATTTCTTCTTTTAGGTGTCCCTGTCGTCGTCTCCTTTTCCTACTATAATGTGACTATTTTTTCACTGAATTCCTAACTTAATTAATATAATGGCATATGAATATTTTTTAGAAACAAAGGGAAGAAATCCTGAGCCACCAGCCAGAGATTGATCGGTTCACCGACGACGCCCAGAACCTGATGCACACCAGCTCGGATGTGCGTCTCAGCACCCAGGTCTCACAACTCACCAACAAGTACCAGGGAATTCTTTCCCTTGTCAAGGTAAAGCATTCAAGTTTTTTATTTGTCATGTCCTATGAGCAGGAAGCTAGTTACAGATGAGTGACCTGTTTTGGAAACTATCTTTATTTTAGATCTGGAAATATTTCTGAAACGCCTGTTTGCTAATATGGAGACTGACACGCCTGTTTGCTAATATGGAGATATGATATCTATATTTGTATAGTTCAAGTGGGGGGAGGGGGGGTTGCAGTGTGAGAAGTTTTCAATTGATTTCTACTCATTTACATTACCTTTATGCTATATGTATGAGTAGTAATTAAAAAAAACTATAACTATACTCCTTCAAACTCTCTCAGGACTTGATCTCCAAGTGGGAGAAGTATGTCCAGGAGCACCATCTCTATGACAACCGTATGGAAGACTTCAAGGACTGGATGGCCCTGGCTGGTCAGCGGCTTGACCAGTGCTCTCAGCCTGTGGGAGACCAGGAGTCACTGGAGGAGAAGAGGGCAATGATCCAGGTGAACACATTGTTCTGTCTCTTTCTTCTCTAATTTTGTTCAACTTTATTAAAATATGACCTTCTTTCATATCATGCATCTGTCATCCATATTTTTCCTTTTTCGTTTCTTTGTATGTTACTCTCTGATAACACCTCTAATCTTCTGCACTTATATGACCTATTTGTCTGGCAAATGCCTTAAAACTCTTACTAAAACCAAATTTGCCTTTTCACTACGCTAAGTGACACTTGTCATGCCAATGTGAAAACTGCCCTACATAAGATGTTTCATGAATGCTCTTTTTTTTCTCTTCTGTCTTGTGCTTGTCATTGTCATGGCATTTTCTTTCTTCCGGAGTGGCACTTCTGAGTGGCGACGAGGCTCAGCTTTACTTCTCTTTTCATATTGAATTCTAATGAGAGTAATATATAATTTAATTTTTATGTATACCTGCATGGGTGTTTACGGTCTAGTACAGCCAAGAAAAATTTCCCTCGGGGACAATAAAGTATTATCTTATCTTATCTCTTATCTTATTTTCTTCTGACTTCAGATGCTTTTCACGGAAAAGGAACACGGTCATCAAAAACTGAGTGCAGCCGTGGAGTCTGGAGAAAAGCTGTACCCAGACACGGCATCTGCTGGCCGGGAGAAAGTTCGCGGTGAACTCCGTATGGCCAAACAGGACTGGGAGAATCTGTTCTCCGGCCTGAACGACGCTCAGCGCCGGGTGGACTCCTATCTCATGCAGTGGAGCTCCTACACAGACCAGCAGGATCAGCTGATGCGATGGATGGCGGAGACGGAAGCTGCTCTCCGGGCTGATGTAGACCTCCGCAATACGTTGCAGGAAAAGAGGCTTCAGCTTCAGACCCACAGGGTGAGGGTTTAAACCCCTTTCTCTTTTGATTTTCTTTTTTTCTGTTACTTGCTGTTCCCTTTTATATTTGCTATAGATTGTTGGGGGATAAATATGACTTTCTTATCTTTTATTTACACAATTTATTTGCTTGATAATTTTGTGTGTGTTTTTTGGGGGGAGGGGGAGGGGATTCTTCTGCTTTACAGATACCAGTTTATTTGTTCTGTGGTACATTTCTTCTGTGTAGAGCAGATTATTCAGATAGATTTTTACCCTCGATATTTTCTCACAGGGTTTATTGTAGGTACTATAAATTACCGTTGTTGATGTAGCAAAGAGGCAATTCCAGTGAATAAATATTGAATATTTGTAAACTCTATTTATAATTCTACAAATATTTTTTCCTTTGTTTTTCTCCAGAGTTTGCTGCAAGACATCAGCTCCCACCAGAGACTGATCGACTCTGTCATTGAGAAAGCACAAGCCGTACTGAAAAGCACCACCAACCCTGAAGTGGCCGACTTCATCACCAATGTGAGCTCCAGATATGAAAAACTCAATCTGGATGCAAAGGTAAAGAAACAGTTCAGTTGTATGTTGTATACTGACCTATTTATTGTTCTAAATAAAGCTGAAATTGTCCAAGATGACTACCTATTACCACAGAGAAAAGTGGTTCGTTTTTTCAGTTCTAGTGAGGGTTTTACAGCACCTGCAACATAATTAGTTCATATAAATGTTGAAGACAAGAGGAGTTACTTTAAGAGCAACATACAAAAAAGAGAAGGAGGAAAGAGGAGGGCAATGGGGATGTTGTAAAGGAAAGAAGGTGCAAACCACACCAGAAATCCCACCAACCACCCAGTTATGAGACTCATCTTGTCGTATTTTCTGGTATCCTCAGAACCTGATCCAGAGAAGCGAGCACCACGTGGTGCTGCACCAACAGTTCCAGGACAGCATGCAGGCCGCCGTGGACTGGATGGCCCTGATGAAGGACAAGCAGACTCTGTGTGCAGACACCACGGGGGACAGACACACCATACAGAACAAGCTGGACAGACTGCATGTGAGTTGTGTTGGGGAGGGATTAGAGATAAAATATTGATGCTACACTAAGAGCTCATGTAGAAGTTTTGTTGACATTGGAGAAAAGACTGTTGTAATACTGGATGGTCATGTGAGTTTTGTTGAGATTAGAGATGAAAATATTGTTGTAATACTGCGCACTCATGTACCACATAGAATAAAGACTTCTCTACCCTGTCTCTCTCCTCCCAAGCAAATTCTGTTCATTCATTACAGTTTTGTGATTTTGTCTGAGTTTTTCAACTTTTTGTGCCGTTTGTCACATCCAAGATTGTTTTTTAATGAATATCAATCAGTTAGATGTTAACTTGGTTCGTTATTGTCAATTCTCAGCTGAATTAGGCCTATGTGCTTTTTTAAACTGTTAATACCCAGTGCACAGTGTCAATAGGATTCAGTGGGTGAGCCATGGCTAGCAAGATTTTCCTAGGTATATTGATAAGACACATTGTAGCCTGCAGGTGTTTAGCAGATATGAAGAAGGTGTTTGAACTGTCCCCAGGAGCTGATCACATGCATGCCAGAGGGTGGCAGCAAGCTGAAAGAGTGCGACAACCAAGCCCAGGTCACCATGGACACCACGGGCCTGAAGGGGCGACAGAACATCCAGCAAGAGCTGGAGGTCCTGCGCCTGGACTGGGAGGACTACTCCAGCCGACTGACCTCCCTGCGCGACAGCCTGGAGCAGGCCCTGCACTACTGGAGCCTGTACGAGAGCAGCTACCAGCAGATGTCTGGCTGGCTCAAGGCCATGGAGAAGCAGGTGAAGGAGTGTCCGCTGAGGTCATCGCTGGAGGAGAAGCAGGAGCAGCTGGCCAAGTACCAGGTGGGTATTATGTTAATTCATGTGACATGGGCTGGTCATGTGACTTGTGATGATCATATGTGGCTCTGGCTGTTCATGTGACATGGACTGGTCATGTGACTTGTGATGATCATATGTGGTTCTGGCTGTTCATGTGACTGGGGCTGGTCATGTGACATGGACTAGTCATGTGATGCTTTGTCAGGCTTGCCAACTTGTTTCCTAAGGCTTACCAAAGTTCTATCTGACATTTTTTGCATTTGGAGTTACCAAGACCATGAGATCGAAACCAATGCTCTATCTGCTCTATTAAAATCATAAGATTAATTGGAGTCGTTATCAAAATATTCAAAGAATTGTATTAGAAAAAGCTTGACATGTTTTGAATCTCGACATTTTTTATGTCAAATTTCTTAAAACTAGGTACTGAGCAGGTAGAACTTTGTAATTCTAGGGTAGCCGACTGTCCCGGATGTGGCATTTGAGAGTTTGAGTGCGATATCACACTCTCAACCCTTAAAGCAGTTCCACTTGAAGTAATTGTGTTTGTTGTTATGTAATCTAATGTCATCTTTTTGTGTGCCCTTGACTGGGTTTTGAAAAGGTTGGCAAGTCTGCTTTATGCTTGACAGTGATTTGTGAGAGAATTGCTGGGATAAGGAGAAAGGCTTGTTGCCCTTTGTTTTTGTGTTTTGAACTTATCATTCTTCAGAGGTGGTTGGTTGATGCGCTGGATGAGTGTGCTTTTTCTACATCCTCTTGTTTTGTCATTGTCCTAATCTTTGCCCAGACAAATGCAGTTACTACATTGACTTGTCACTGAAAAAAAATCCCCAGTCCTCCATCATTTTTAACATCTTCTCTTCAGTACTGTTTGTTACTCGTACTTTTTAGTGTTAATGAATGCTTGAACAGTGTTGTAGATGTTTGCCTGACTGTTGTTTTGGGATAAAATTTTCATTCAAAGTTGTGTGTTATTTGTTAGTGCATAATATTCGTAGAGTAAGAGGCAGAATACTGATGTTTTTGTTTAAATCAAGTCTGATCAATTGTTTGAAGTCTTTGTGCATTTAGTTTATGTAATTGTCCACACTATGCCCCAATTTTTCTAGTAGATTAAAATTGTTTTCAATGTATCATTTTTTAAAAACTATACTGGCCCAGAAAATCTTAAGAGCTGTAGGTTCGTTTTCTTTGTATCAATCATACTCTCAAGTAGATGCTAGTGTACCATTGTTGTTGATGGGGTTTTGTAGTGTGTTTTAAAAAAAATCATACTTGTTTCAGCTTTTTTATTTATCATAGACTTCTGGTTTTATGTTCCTACTCTAAACACAAAACCTATAGCCTGACAATTCACAAAAATGACAGCAATGTTTCAGATCAATTCATTATCATTATCAAGTTACAAGTTTACTGCTTATGGAATTATACTCTTTTGATTTAACCTTTTATCTTACATGTGTGTGTGTGTGTGTTTGCTTCATTTCATGTAATATACCCACCATACATTGCAAATCTCAGGCTTTCCAGGAAGATCTCGATGATAATGAACAGGAAATTTGTCAAGTTGTCACTCAAGGAGTAAGATTTCTCCACCATTCTATCTGTCATGGCTTTATTAATTCTGTAGACACACGTATCTTGGACTTGTGGGGGAGTCGCAACACGCCAGCTTTTTGACCGCATGACCATCGGCTGTGTCCAGATCTTATGACTGGCTTTTGGGTTTTTGTTTCTATATGCTGATCTTTTGTGTCTGCTTCCTACTTTTCAGCTTTTGTCTGTCTTCCGTAATAATAATAATAATAATAATAATAATAATAGGTAGCATTTGTATAGCGCATATCCCCGCTCAACAGCAGGCTCTATGCGCTTTACACTATATTATTACCCCAGCAGACCATAGAACACTGCGGAACATTCTCAGCTCCCCGGGAAGCATACAGTGCAAGCAGCCGATGAAGCGCTCAAACACTAACAAACTGACAAGATCTTTCGCTGTCTATAGCCGGGTACCCATTCCCACCTGGGTGAAGTGAGGAAATTCGTGTAAAGTGCCTTTCCCAAGGACACAACGACGGGCCCTTGACGGGATTCGAACCCACGACCTTACGGTTGTGAGTCCGAGAGCCTAACCACTAGGCCACCGACGTACATCTCTTATGTTACAGACAGGGTCTTCCCGATTTCACTTCCTTTCCATTCATCTTCAGTCTTCATTCATCTTGGGTGTGGAGTAGTCAGGTTTAAATGAAAGAACTATTGTGTGGGTGGGAAGGTGAAGAAGAAGGGGCTTGTGGGTCTGCCAAGTCCTGCTTTTCTTCTCCGAGATTGCTTTTCAAAATTCATATTATAATGATGTTCCTGATTGAAAACACACAAAAATGGACAGTTCTTTTTATCAATGATAATAGTTAAGTGTCATCTGTGAACTTGTACTTTTTTAAAAACAGTGTTTATTCTGTTGTCTGATGTTTTGGTCTGTGCATGCATGCATGGCTCTGTTCCTCACTAACTCTAACACTTGGTGACTATTCTCATATAAAGTGTGTATTCTTCTTCAAAAATTAAGTAACTGTCACCTTTTTCATGGCAGTTCATTTTAAATGTAAATGCTGCCTTACTAAAGTGGATTCTAAATAAGCTCCTGTACTTTTTCAAAACCACTTGGTATGGGTTATTGAAATAGTATGGTTCCTATCAACAGGGGCAAAAAGTGATGCATTGACTTTTTGAAAGGAAAGGAGCTGTCCACAGTATCACAAATGTTTATGTAAATGAGACACAGCCTTGTCATTTAGTCTATTTTGAGCGCTGAACCTTAATGCTCAAGTCAAACAAATGGTCTAGGCTCGAATTCAGTTATTTTTCTTCTTGATGCTGAAGTCTCCTTGATTTTCAAAATTCTTGTTTGAAATTTGATTTTTGTCAGGCTTGTTCTTCATGATTTTGTCTTCAATTGAGCTTTTTTAGGCATGCAGCTAATAATTCGTTAGCTTGCACTGTTCACAAGGTTATGCAGAGCAGATAATGTGATTGAAAGTTTGTATTTCAGAGGCTTTTATTTTTCTGTCTTCTTTGCTTGCTCTTTACGATGCCTTATTTTTCTGGCTTGATAATGTGCTTGTTTCTGCAACATGTTCAGTAGTGAATATTGAATATCCGTCGAAAGTCATAGGCCCTACTGTCATACGATGGGAAGATTCAGGTGATAACACTTGCTTTCAATGGGATTTTAGTGTAAAATGAATGATGTCTCTGCCTGCTCGTCGTAGCATCAGCTTCAACAAGTCGCACTTTTCCCCCACAGACCTTGTGCAATCTCTTGTCTTGTTGTAATAATGAAAGCATGTTGTCTATGAAACTAATATCCTTACCGCATGTTTTGTATGATTTTACTTGAACTTAAGTTTGGTAATAATTCTTTAAGGAAAAGATTTTTGTGTCAGGCTTCATTGGGCATTCCTGTAGGTGCAAAGTCCATTTGTGTGATTTTGTTCTTCATGAGGTATGCTTCGATATGGTCTCTGGGTAGACAATTGGTTTCTCATAAGTTTGTCTCAAGATTGGTCAAACTCGTCAAATTTCTCTACACACACCCCCCCCCCCCCCCCCCCCCCCCCCCGTCAGTCCGATAAGAGCTTCTTCAAAAACAGCCTAAATATTCTCTTAACGAAGTACCCATTTTTTCATACCAGGGTAGTTTTATTACTTCAGTTTGTGAATCCTAGCATCATAACGCAGTGTTTCTTTCATGGATACTAAGGGGTCCTAGATTGCGGTCAGGTATCAACACGTATAACGTGTGGTTAAAATCTGCTAGCTCAGTTATATCATGCTGGACTACAGAGAGATCAGCCTTGGTTCAAATAACCAAAATGGCAATTTTAAAGTTGAGTTATTTGTAGAGTTTTCACGGCCAAATTGGCTTGGTTTTATTGGAGATAGATGTTAAATTTGGAGGTCCCGCCTTTTAAATAATCTAAGTGTGTTGAAAGGGATGTTAAACCCACACTCTTACTTTTCAGACCAAATGTGATGTTTACTTGTGAGATTATTTCGTACTTATCCTTTTTCACAGTGTTGTTCTCATAATGTTGCCTAATCTGCTGCTAAACAGATGTTCTTCATTTGAACGTCCGTGGGCTATGAGCTGAAATATTGAATGTTGTACATAAATCTAACCTCTAAGTGAAGTATCCTATGCATGCTAGTCTGAGAGGGCTTGACCTGATGAAACTGTCTTTCATGGTCATAACGTGATCTCTATTGTGTAATATTTGTTTGTTGATTGAGCATTTGTGGAGATGAAAGTGGGTTATGTAAATGTAATTTATTATTATTATTTTATCATAATTATTATTGTTTTCGTCATCATCATCATCTAAATCAAATTTCAGTGCACTGTCTTTCTCTGCAGATTCGCTTTCTCTGTATGATGACTAGAGAAGAAATATTTAACTTACGTCACGAGAATTTTTTCTACACAATGCTATTGTGGTGAACCTTTCTTTTCATGCTCAGATAAAGAGCTATCATACAGGGAGGGGCATGGGTGTTCCATTAGCTCAGTTGGTATCATGCTGGACTATGGAGTGGTTGGCCCTGGTTGGAATCCCAGTCTGGGTGTTCTGGAACTCGGATTGTTTTGCTAAGTTTTCAAGGCATTCAACCTATTAGGCTCAGCCCTATCAGAGATGGATGTTAAATTCAGAGGTCCTGTGATTATAGTATGGAAATGGTATTGAGGAAAAAAACAACCTTACTGCTTCGCTACAGATGCTAGTAGTTTTAGTTTTCTCAGTTGAAATAAGCATGATAGAAGATGTTTAAGTCAACAAACCCACATCTCCCTGGATACCCTGCCATGTACAGCATTATGAAACTCCTTGCTCTTGAAGCTTCTGTGACCTACAGTATTTTATAAACACACTTCAAGTCTTAAGTGTCAAAGGGTACATCTGCCTGGTAGCTCTGTTTCTTTTTTATGTGTGTGACTTTCTTTTCTTGTTACCGTAATGTTTCCAACACTACAACCATTATTTTGTCGTTGTGCTTCACTTCAATATTTTTAAAGTCTGTTTTTATCGATGGGTCATATCACATCGTCGGTGTTCTTCTCTAACCAAATTAGATCAAATACTTTGTTCTCTCTTCGAGAGCTGCCAAATATTTTGTTTTGACTATTTGTTTTACTTATTATAGTATCACCAAGGGGAATAACGGTTTTGAATAATTTCAGACAAAAGCAGTGCTAGACGTAATTTAGCGGATGCACAGTTAGAGATGGACATCGACAACATACTCTTATGACTATGATCAGGCATTATTTGTTTTATCTGTATTTACCTTTAGTTCAAATCTTATGTGTGCTTTTTTTTGCTTGCAGGAGTTGCTGCAGGAGATCCGTGGTCAGCAGAAGGAGGTGGACAAGTTCAGCGACGAGGCCCAGACGCTGCAACAGTTGACGTCGGAGTCGCGAGTGGGGAACTTTGTCTCACAGCTGGCCTCACGCTACCAGGCTTTGCTCAGCTCCGGCAAGGTTGGCTGCTTTTGTAGGCTTTTGTTAGATAACAAAAAAATAAAAACCCTTCTTAACAACGGTTGTTGGGTTAATTTTTAAAAAATTTTCACACTCATACCTGTTGTTTCCCTGGGTTATCAAGGCTCAAATGCCAAGTGGTCTAATCTTTATACGACTTGGGAAAATTGTCTTCAACAAGCATAGCAATGCATTATGTATAAACAATGTGTATAAGTTTTCTCCATAGTCTGTGGAATAATAACAAAAAAAGAATTTTGTGAGCCTTCATTTCAGTGCTTGGAGTCACTTTAAATAATTTTACAATTTTTTGTTTTGTTTTCTGAATGTGAATCTTGAAGATGGATTCTTGAGAGCGCTAACTGTACATGAGTTTGCACTCGTCTTTTTGTTTACAGGAACTGATAAAACGCTGTGAGCAGAATGTGGAAGACCACAAACTGTACAAGGACAAACTGACCGACAGTGGTCAGTGGCTTGAGAAGGCCCAGAAGAAGTTTGCCCAGTGCTCAGAGACAGGTGGCTCCCGGGCTGAGCTGGAGACGAGACTGGACAAAGTACAGGTGAGTTTTGTGACATGGTCATGTTTGAAAGCACTAGAAAGAAAGGTTTTACCATGTGAACCTTTTTTCCACTTTGAAATCACTTTTTGCCTCTTTAAAAGAAATCAAGTTTTTCTTTGTAGTTGTGACTTGCTGTTGGAATGTCCTGCTTTTTTTTGTTTTACAATCTGCACAAAAGAATTTGTGCCGGATGAAAGAAAAGTCTCTTTCCACCCCTTTCCCACCTCTAACAAATTCTAAAAAGCAATTAAAGGTCCACTCTATAACTTAAAATCTGAGTCTAAGTTCAGTCTACCTGTTAATCATAGTGTAAATAATGACAATAATAATAATTGTTATTAATATTGTCACTATCTTTATTACTTTTATTATTATTGTTATTATTATTATAATGCAAATGATAATAAGAATAATAACAATGATAATAATAACAGTAATGATAATAATAGTAATAGTTTGTCCAGCAACATCTGACAATGACCTTCACTTGAACCATTTATTTTCCTGTTTGCTCCTTCACTGTAGGACCTTGTTCGTGAAAGAGACGCCGGCTTCTCCAAGCTGAACCAGTGTGTGGAGGCCGGGGAGCGACTGTACCCGAGCACGGCACCGGACGGTCGGGAGGTCATTAGACAGGAGCTGCGTAAACTCAAACTGGGTTACGAGAGTATGTTTGACGAGCTGAGCAACGTGCAGCGTAAACTGGAGGTGTCCATGGTACAGTGGACCTCGTTTGATGAGAGCTATGGTCAGGTGAGAATGGGCTAAGGACTTCTATTTTACGGAAATTATTCACCCTTTCTTTTCATGCCTTGCTTTATTATTAGGTGGCTAACAAACAAAACTCTTCAAAACTGATAATGTCTAGATTGAAGAAAGCAAGACAAAAAAACGTTATTCTGGTTGAATAACAAGAACATAAAATTGCTTTCTAATTTTAGAAGTTTGCTGATAAACAATTCTTTGATTCTATTTTGGGGTGCGCTTTTTTGGAGGCCTAGACTAAAGTGTTTAAACTATAGATTATAATGAGCTAGGCAAAAAAAAACCAATGGAATATCAAGGGGTAAGGACTTTGAGACTTTATATAAAATAATAATGCTGGATCAGACATATTTGGGCTTGAAGCTTTATTATAGCAGTGCCTAAGTAAAGTGGAGTCAGTAAAAACTGGGAACGAAGTACTATGGGTATAATTTGAAATATCGAAATCACCTACAGGGATAGATAAACGTTTATTTATTTTAACTTTTCACTTCTTTTTGGATCATCCTCATGCAATATTTTTCTATCTATGGATAGTTTAAAATTCACCAATAGGGATAGATAAACATTTATTTATTTTATCTTTTCACTTCTTTTTAGATTATCTTCATGCAATATTTTTCTATCTATGAATTACCGATTGTAAGTAAGTCTTAAAAATGTTTTCTTTTACTTTTTTTGAGTTACCATTATGTGGCTTTTGTTGTGCAGGTGGAGCACTGGCTGAGACAGATGGAGTCCCAGCTGGAAGGACAAATCCCCCTGAGGGCAACGCTGGAGGAGAAGAAGACACAGTTCCACAACTACAAGGTGAGACATGCTGAGGGGGACAAAATAAAGGGAATAAGTTGCTTTTTAAATGTAGGAGCAGGACTATATTTTCTTCTTTTGCTAATCAAAGTTTTCCTAGAAAGAGTATGGTTATGAAGTTACGCATCAATTGACACAATTAAGATCATTTAGGGGCCGCCGTCAGGGCCCAGCCAGTGAGAGAGAATACGATGTCCCAGCAGACTGGGAGTACTCAGGAAAAACTTCCCATGTGGGAATCGAATTCATGTCTTTTGTGTGTGATGGTGAAGTGACTAACCAGTACACCTCAGACGGCGGTGGAGTATTGTTATTATTTCTATTTGCTTCGTGGATTTATCATCAGACAACTATATATGTACTCTAGTTCATAAAAAGTATTTACAACATCTTTGTCTCAGCATTTCAAAGTTTCCTCTAATTTCATTGTCTTGATTTTTCTTGTTATAGAGAAGTGGTGGGGTTGTTTTTATGAATAGGCATCATGTTCTTGGAGAATTCATTTGCAAAATATGGATTTAAAGAAATAAAAGCACACTGAATGTATTTATTGGAAATCGTAACATATATTAGACTGAGAGATAATAATATACTTATTTCCATCCCGCTGGTATCTCCTATCCTCTCCAGGCTCTCCAACAAGACGTGCTGTCCTACCAGAGGGTCATTGAGAGCATCAACGACAAGGCCAACAGCCTGGTACAAGCCAGCAGTGACCCCGAGCTCACCAAGTTCATCTCACAGACTGGAGCACGTTACAAGAAGCTCTGTGCTGCTGCTAAAGTGAGTGTTGAAGAGTTGTGAAGAATGAGATTTTACATGACTTTATGGCACATGAACAATCCAACTGTTTATTTTTTTCTGCTGAAAAATATCTGGAGAAAAATAGTGAAAACAGTTTTATCATGCCTAATGGGATGAGAGTCACATTTTGGAAAATAATTGTGATTAATTATTTTGAAATAAAAGTAGTGAAAGATTGCACTGAATATTAAAAATACCCTTAATAATATGTTGTCAAATGAATGTCGAAAGTTATTTTACAGGGCTTGTTAAAAGTTCCAGGATTCTCTAAACTATGTTTGCAAGTCAGCCACAAACTATCAGTAGAGAGTGTTTAGAAACCTGCGACTAAGTTTGGAAAGATTCTGCCTATGTGAGGGTGAAGTTAGAGAGGGAAAATTTCTTCTTCCTGCTGTTTCCTTTTTCACTGTTAGTATTCAGACTGTTGCTAAATAGATCTTTGATTTCAATGGCAATCGTCATTCAGTCATCGAAAAAATGAAGTAAAGTCCACACTGATGTGCTAATATATATCTCCCCTTCCCCCCCCACACACACACACACCTTCCAGGAGCGTGTGAGCCAGTATGAACAGTTTGTCAACGACCACCAACAATACAATGACATGTACAATGCCTGTGTGGACTGGCTCAATGCCATCAGGGAAAAACTGTCAGCCTGTTCGGACGTGTCTGGTGACCGCCATGCCATTCAGAGTCGGCTGGACAAGATACAGGTATGCATGCATGTACTGAATAGGACTAATATATGGACATCTTTTTCTTTTTCTTTCTTTCATGACTGGTGATTGAAATTCCCACTTTCTCACTGTTCTAATGATAATGGGCACTACGGAATTGTTTCAAAAGTTTCATGGGGTCTTTTTTGTGAATGGTTATAGCAACTTGAAAATTTTCTGTGATAATTGCAACTACTTACTTTTCTGTTATGGGATTTTTTTGTTTGTTTTATTGTGGAGTTGCATCGTGGAAAAATGGTTGTTTTTATTTCTTCTTTAAGTGTTTTTGAATTAGTAGTTATTTTGAGTTTCGTCGGTGCACCACACTGTGCATGTTTTCTCATTAGATTGTGAAGCCCTCACACATTGTGTTCCCCAACTTTTGTGTTTGCCCCAGTGGTAGGAACATTGTGTTTCTGTGGATCTCGTCCATAGTCAATCCATCCGGACGTGATGGGTGAAAAATGTTTTCACTTTTATGGAGTAATTCACACCATGCTCTAACGGACTGCTATGATCTTTTAAAAAATCATTTCACCTGGGAAGAAACTGAATTGGGGAATTTCGTACCCCCAAACAAAAAGGTTTATAATTTCGCATACTGTGCAACATATGAACTATTGAAAAAATTTTCCTTCTCTCTGTGAAAATGCCAATTTTAGAGACTAATGGCAAGTGGATTAGGAAAAACAAAGATTTAAACTGTTTGAACGTTGAGATGCAATAGAATAGAACAAAATCACAGGGTTTATGCACAGACACTGTTTGAGCACTGAGTCATTTTATGGCACGGCACAGTGCAGTGTGAAATGCATATTGCCAATGTGTGCTCGTTGTCTTTTGTTCATTGTTCATTTTTCACGGCTGGATCTCACTAAAGGGTGCTATCTAAAACAATTTAAACTTTTTGACCAAATACTGAACTTTTTTCTTCCTTACTTGGACACTGTATGTCCTGCTTAATCTATGGGTTTTCTTGGTACTTCAACAAGTTTGCTGTGGGAGGTTGGTGGGCACTTTATGGTGAGGTCTTCTCTTATTTCGTTCAGCATTTCTATTGTTCAGATTTGTTATTGGCATAGTCGTTAAAGGGGGGAACTTGCCTTAAACTGAAATTCTGTATGGAGAGGGGGGGGGGTGATGGTTCTAGTTCTACAACATATCATTCGTTTACAGGATGATGTGGTGTGTTGTAAAATTTCTACTGTAGCTTGGTTACACGTCTACTGAGCCAAGGACTGAATTGTAGAAGTTTTTGTTCATTGAATATTTCTGTTCTTTTGTGACATTGTCCCAAACAGCGACGCTGTGTAAGTGACTTTTCTATTTGTTTTTTATTTGCTGTAGTTCATGCAAGAGATTTGTTTGACTTCAGACAAGTAGTTTTTAAAATTGAAATAAAATACTTTTTTGTCCTTTTTAAACTTATTGCCCTTTACTTAGTTACAGCTGAGCTCTTTTCACTGACTAATGGTGGAAGAAAGATAGTACAGTAATTGTTTGTGAAGACTATTATTTTTTAAACAGAAATTTTTTGTGTGAAGAGGTTTTCTGTCTTCATTCATTAGTTGCCCTGATATCCGCCTGCTTATAGGGGTATACAAACCCCCAGACATGTTGAAATCTGAACGTCATAATGGGATATCATTCGTTTTTTGTTTTTTTTTGGTGAGACTTACAAGGTCTCAAAGATAGGGAATGACATTATTGCTCTTATGTCATAACTTTTAATTTTTCACAATTTCATCTTGTGAAAACAATACAGAGAAGATATTGGGAGCTGGGTTGCTAAATATTTAATTTTGGGGTTGAGTGCTAATTTTAGTTGATGGGTATACTGTTCCTTCAGGTAAATGAAATCAATTCTAGGAACATGGGCAATGATAACGATGGCTATACTAGGGACAGCCAAAAGCTCAATTATAGGCTTTCACTTACAGTATCGTATCAATATCTATGACCTACTGATTTTTGCTGCTTTCTTCTCGTTCTTGTTTCCAAACAACAATATGTGTAATCAGTACCGTCGAACCGGCTCAAATGGCCACAGTCCAAGACAATCACCTGTACAAACGATTACTTCCCCCC